GATCGTTGGTCATACGTACCAAGCTCTTGATCGCTGCGTGGGGCCATGCAATATTGCACGCAGCAAAGTTGGTCCGCCTGAGGCCTGTTGCGACACAACCATTTAGTGCCCTTCAGTTGGTCACCGGATGCGAACCCGACATATCGCATCTGCGCGTTTTTTGTTGTGCGGTCTATGTGGCGATCTCGCCGCCCTTACGTACAAAAATGGGGCCTCAGCAAAGGATGGGAATCTATGTCGGATATGATTCTCCTTCGATTATTCGTTACTTAGAACCTTTGACAGGCGATTTGTTTACCGCTCGTTTCGCGGATTGTCACTTCTATGAGACAGTCTTCCCGTCGTTAGGGGGAGATAAGAACGTCAACGTTCCTAATGAACGACGTGAATTATCGTGGACGACTCCCACTTTGTCTTATTTAGATCCCCGCACCGCTCAATCTGAAGTTGAAATGCAACGCATATTAGATCTCCAGAGCATAGCTCAGAGCATGCCAGATGCTTTCACCGATCTAGCGCGCGTGACAAGATCACATATTCCAGCTGCGAATACGCCTGCAAAGATAGATGTACCAAATGTACGATGGACTACCCTCCTAGAAGCCCGGGACGCCAATTCTGGTGATCCACGTACATTATCGGCTAGCCAATCCTCTGCCCCTACACAAAAGCGTGGCAGACCCCTTGGTTCAAAGGATTCATACCCCCGGAATAGGAAAACCATGGCATAAGGTCCTGAAGAGCCTACCGTGAATCCGATTATCGCTTACTCATTTTACCCAACTCATGAGGAAATTCTAGATTATGGAAGCGTCCTTGAAGAGACGAATCCTCCTTCCGAGAATCATGAGATTTCGGTCTATTATGCTAGCTTAGATGATGTGTGGCGTAGAAATGAGATGATTGTCGACGATGCATTAGCATTTGCAGTAGCTACTGAGATCATGTTGAGCGATGACATTGAACCGCGTTCCGTTGATGAATGTCGACGTAGAGCTGATTGGTCAAACTGGAAACAAGCAATCCAAGTCGAACTTGATTCACTTGCGAAACATAAGGTGTTTGGACCTGTAGTTCCTACTCCTCCACATGTGAAGCCCGTTGGCTACAAGTGGGTTTTCGTTCGGAAGCGTAATGAGAAGAACGAAATTGTGCATTACAAAGCTCATCTTGTAGCACAAGGTTTCTCACAACGCCCCGGGATTGACTATGACGAAACTTACTCACCCGTTATGGATGTGATTACTTTTCGATACCTCATCAGTTTGGTAGTTTCCGAAAAACTGGATATGCAGCTGATGGACGTAGTAACCGCGTATCTCTATGGGGATCTTGATACGAAAATTTATATAAAAGTTCCCGAAAGACTTACATTGACTGGTTCAAATATTTCCAAACCCCGAAACACGCTCTCAATTCGGCTGAGGCGTTCACTATACGGTTTGAAACAATCTGGAAGAATGTGATATAACCGTCTGAGTGAGTATTTGACTAGTCAGGGATATGTGAACAACGAACTATGCCCTTGTGTGTTCATTAAGAGGTCACATTCCGAATTTGCGATTGTTGTAGTATATGTCGATGACATGAATCTCATCGGAACTCCTGAAGAGCTCGCGAGAACTGCTTCGCACCTGAAGTCGGAATTTGAGATGAAAGATCTAGGTAAGACTCGATACTGTCTCGGTCTTGAGATAGAGCATTGTTCGGATGGAATCTTAGTACATTAATCGAACTACACCCAGAAAGTGCTACGCCGTTTTAATGAGGATAAAGCGAAGTCTTCGAGTACTCCTATGGTCGTTCGTACGCTAGATGCAAAGCGAGATCCCTTCCGTCCGAATGAGGATGATGAAGAGATTATGGAACCTGAAGTTCCTTATCTAAGTGCGATAGGCGCTTTATTGTACTTAGCTCAATGCACTAAACCCGACATCTCCTTCGCTGTTAATCTTTTGGCAAGATACAGCAATACACCAACACGCATACATTGGACTGGCGTGAAAGACATCTTCCGTTACCTTAAGGGTACTACGGATTTGGGCTTATTCTATCCCTACGAATCCTCGAGTGATGCCGCACCCTATGCTCATCGAGTTGATTCTCGCCTTGTTGGTTATGCCGACGCTGGATATTTATCTGATCCGTACAAGGCGTGTTCTCAAATGGGTTATGTCTTTACCGTTGGAGGCACCACAATATCTTGGAGGTTAACTAAACAGACCTTAGTTGCCACTTCGTCTAACCATGCTGAAATTCTCGCCTTACATGAAGCAACTCGGGAATGCTTTTGGTTGAGAGCAGTAATGGGCCATATTCGAAGCTCCTGTGATCTTCATCCCGCCGTTAATGCCCTGACGACGATTTTTGAAGACAACGCAGCTTGCATCGAACAGCTCAAGAAAGGTTACATCAAAGGAGACAACACCAAGCATATTGCGCCGAAGTTCTTCTTTACACATCAACATCAAGAGCATCAGAAGATTGAAGTCACGCAAATCCGATCACAAGACAATTTGGCCGACCTCTTCACCAAATCACTACCGAATGCGACGTTTCAGAAGTTTGTTCATGGAATTGGTATGCGTAAACTTTCTGAGTTGTAACTTTGCTATTTCTCTTTGGAATTATGTCAAACTCAGGGGGAGTATCTTCTGAATACTTGCTTGATCTTAATGTACTCTTTTTCCCTACGATTAGGAGCATTTTTCCCACTGGGTTTTTGCTACCTAACTAGGTTTTAACAAGGAATCCACCTTGGGCTGGTCATATCCCTGATGACGTCCTGTAGACGTTTCTTTTGACTTTGCATTTCTCACGCATTTTTCCTTAGACTATGGATTTTGTCCATACTCGGGTTTTTGCCATAGCCTTAGGGTTTTTTAGTGAGACTTACTACTTATGCAAGTTCCTACCTTATTGAGAATAAGCGTTGTTCTTTGGAATCAATGCCGACGAGTCGACTTCCTCAACTTCTGCATGATGCTGAATCTACCTTAAGTATTTGCACACTCAAGAGGGAGTGTTGTAAACATTCCTAGAATAAGTGTGATTGTGTAAATCCTAGATTAGATTTGATTCTAGTTATCCTTTCCTATTACAACTTGTATTATTTGGAGAAGAATGAATATCTTCTCTCCCTTTACTACTATAAATAAAGGCACAATGTAGGAGGGATAACAACATATACATTCCCCTACAATTCTACAAACACACATCTCTCTCCTCTCTCTCTGCCGCCGGCCCTAGTCTCTCTGTCAAATAAAAATATACTACAACATAATCTATATAGTATTACTCTTTATTAGAATGTATTTTAACTCACCACCTTCAAGTGGTGATGGTTTTCACCATCCTAATTATTGCTATTGAAAAAGTTTAAATTTTAATATTTATGTTTATCTATTACACAAATTTCAAGATTTAAATTTATTTAACAGTGACAAATAAGGTGAGAATCATTACTATCATTTAGATCATCTCTAAAGGAGATGCTAAATTTTGAACATAAAGTTAGTCTATGTGGTATTTTGATATCTTTTAAGTTTTACTCTTCACTCGATATGTCAAATTAAATTATTATTTTATTTATTATAACATAAGTGGTTAAATGAATAAAAAAAATTAATAAATGACATTTAATTCATTATTAAATTGCCACCAGGAGGAGAGATAGGATCTAAACAAATGCACGGTCAACATTCAACATTAATTATAGTAATGATTAAATTAATAAAAGACATTTAATAATTAACTAAAAATATTTGAAGATGCTGTCAAATTTGCCAGCAACCTCTTTGCTATCAATCCATGTTAGCGCCATGTCGGATTTGACATTTCGATTAGAGAATATTAGTTTGGTCTTGTATTACTGTTATAGTTTATGTATACATTTTGACATCTCTTTTGAAGATACTCTTAAAGATGGTGAGCAAAAATAATTTAGGTGGACACTATGTCTGCCACGTGCATTTTTTAACAATAAATTTTCTTTTAACAATCCAACAATAGTCAAGAATCTCTTAAAATATTAATTTTATTAAAAATTTTGTGTGCCCCTATTTATTTCCCAAATCAGAACCCATAGCTGTTTCATGCCATCATCCTTTTCGGCTTATTCGACATGACTCATTTTATCGCAATTAGAGTAATCATCCTTCAATTTTTTGAAATGACTCATGTTAATGAAGTTTTAATAGAGTTGATAAAAAAATTTATAATTATACGTTTTAATGAGTTAAAGAAATAAATATCCTTAAATTTTAAATTGAGAGACTGTAATTGAGTTAAAAGGTAAAAAAGCAATGCATCCATTTTCTAAAAAAAAAGAACTGAATTGAAGTTGGTATAATTTGTGCAGGCTACTTCATCAGAGTGGATCATGTTATTGACTAGCCTTGTCATCGAGATTCTGTCTGCTGTTTTTGATCAGGCTTCCTCCCCACGTAAGCCTCACTATGCACTAATTAATTGGCATGCTATTGGCAATCGTGGCTGTGCTTGTTTGCATCTGGGAGCTCGTTCACAATGGTAAAAAGGAAAGAATTGTATTGAGGAGGAGGGGAATACTATGGTGTTTTTACTATCCACCTCCAAACAACACGCTTTTTGGTACATTCGCTGAAATTACTGGATTATGCCTTGCCACTGCTCAATGCATTTGCTCGGCAGTGCAGTATCATTTCATCCGTCGTCATGCTACTAATCCTATGAAACTGTCCCCTTTGGCTGCCGTATTCTTTTTGGGTTTGGTTGTTTCAAAATTAGTTCAGAATCAGCGGTTCACCGTTGATGACACGCTTCAGAATGGTACTTGAGCAACGACTGGAGTCAAGGGATCATAAAAAAGTTCTTAGAGAAAAAGACAGACACTAGAAAGGTTCTTTTTTTTTCGGAGGTAAATTGTCTGCCCTCCCATTTTCATACTCTTCCCATCGCCTTTTGTTTTGTGTGGTTACAGTTAAACTACGTTAACATTTTATTATTTTTATAAAAAGACAGACACTAGAAAGGTTCTTTCTTTTTTTTTACGGGGAAACATTCCTCCAAGTTGTTACCTTTACATTACCATGAAAGCTCATATGGAGATTAGATTCTGTAGAAAAAGAAGATCACTCTTCAAAAGATTACATGCCTGTTTCTTTTAATCACATTTTTTTTATGTTTAGCAGTGTTGATTAAATTCTGCACAAAGCATAGAATTCTAGAACTGTCCAAACACATCCTAGTCCTACAAAATTGAGATGATTGCCTTAAATGGTCTGAAAATGAATAGAACCTGATGTACATAAATTCCCGATGATCTAGAAAAAGAAGTTGATAAAAATAATTATCCAAATAAATATCTACCCCATTAGACCCAATTGAGCATCCATCTTCTTCCAGGGACTATATTGACAAAGAGAAGCAATTTTATACCTTTTCAGTCTTGCTCCGTGGCTGGCCGTTGAGTCTTGCTCCCTGAACTTTGGGCTTCGAAGCAGCAGAAAAGCTGAAAAGAGCATGTGGAACGGGACGACGCTGGGGTTTCTCAGGGAGAGGAGAAGAGCATTTGAGACATTTTGGCTTTTATAGTTTGTACATTTGGTCCTCCGTCAAGTCTACGTGTGTCGGCGTTTTGTCGTCTTTGATGATTTTACTTTTTCTTTATTTATTTGTCTAGAGGATGGTCTTTTATTTGAATTATTTTATTACTTGTTTTTGTTGAGTCTGTGCCGTGGGACCCGCCCCCATGTGCGACTCCTTCAGTTTCCTCGCTCTTTCGTCCGTCCTTCCAGTTTCCTCGCTCTTTCGTCCGCCCTTCTGCAACACGTTATTTGGAAGGCTTACTAATATTGTTTTGTTGACTCTATGCCGTTGGGATCCACCCACGTGGAACTCCTCTCTCACCCTTCCCGGCGAGATTTCCTCGCTCTTTCTGTCTTCTCCGCATCTGCACCGCGTTATTTGGAATTACTTTATTATTGTTTTCACAAAATTTTTAAAATGTCATATTAACTTACATATTTTTTTAATTTGTCATATAAATGAAATTTTTTAGTAATTTGTTATACTAATTTTTTAAAATTATTAATTTGTCATCTTATCATAACTCCTCTTAAAATTTTCATTTAAAATAAATTATGTGCTTTGATTCAAATATAATTTATGTTTAGGATTATTTCTGTCATTTTAATATCTTTTATTAACCCCTAGCTGGTGACCAAAGAATTTATTTCGCAATGCCAATGTGTTTTTTTATTTATTTAGAATAATGCTATTCATGCAATATTTTTATATCATATTTTTATACCACCTTAAATGACATTTGATGTGTGCAACCACATTATTTAAAAAATTTGCAAAACTCAAGGAAATGAAGGAGAAAGACTCTTCGTATAACATAATAATTATTTAATTAACTAGTTTTTCTTAATTATTAGTTTATTAAATAATGAACTAAATTTAAAAATCTGATTAATTCAAATGATGTGACTGTGCACATCAAATGCCACCTAAGGTGGTATGAAAATATGGTACAAAAACATGGTATAAATAACCTTACTCTTTTCTTTACTTGAAATTGATATATAAGGGTCCAATACATTATTTGTGTTCCATAGTTTGAATAAGGTCATTCACAACTTTTATTGACTCCCTTTTGTTTGTCTGACATAATGACCCAAGCAAGTGCATATTCAATACCCATATAAGCAAATCAGTGATCAGTAGCTCCAGAAACCAAGTCCAAGATCTATTTTTAATTTCAACAATTGCATATGCTATTGCATTGATGCCATTGTTGGCATTTATACCTATAGCAGCAAGCAATTGGCCTGGATGTGGACCTTTAACGTGACATCCATCCGATCCCACCATTGGCCTTCAACCCTCCAAAAGGCTTTCATTTTTCAATAGTGTAAAAAGCACACATACAACCTTTGAAACCTAAGCCTTCCTCCTTCCATTTCAGTCTTCACCAAATTGTACTGCCATGATTTCTTCGCTTAAGCTCCTCACAATAATTCATAGGGAATAGGATCATCGCCAGATCTTTTTCTTGGGAATCCTGAGGATCATGTGATCATGACCGTTCATTGTACATCGTGTGGCCATTTTCGTTAGGTACGATTTATATTTAATTTTAAATTTTAAATTTTAAATAATTTATGATTGCACGATGTACGATAAACAATCATGATCACATGATCCCTAGGAAAAGGATCTGATGAGGATCATTTTCCGATTCATAGATTTAAGGGTCCCCAGTGTCTTTATATTGTTGTGCCATCTTCAATTCGAAACATACATTTGTACAAATATTTATCATTAATAACCAAAATTTAACATTTCATTTCATAAATGTCACTTTAAAAAAAAAATTTAAATATAACAAAAAACTCACATGAATAGACTTAAATACCCTCAAAATTCAAAGCCCATTTACATAAAAAGGGGAGGTCAATGGAATTCTGATGGAAGTTGTGAGTTTACTTAATCGCTCCAAACTTTGAGCTCTTCTTGTCACATCCCGGCCCGGGCCCCCACCACATCCCGGGCTTGACTCTGTCATAGCACGATATTGTCCGATTTGGGCCCCGACCACACCTTCACGGTTTTGTTTCTAGGAATTTACACAAGAACTTCTCAGTGGGTCACCCATCATAGGATGGCTCTCGCGCGAACTCGCTTAACTTCGGAGTTCCGATGGAATCCACAGCCAGTGAGCTCCTAAAATGCCTCGTGCTAGGTAGAGATGAGAATATACATATAAGGCTTCCAAGATCCACTCCCCTGGACGATGTGGGATGTTACAATCATTGTGACAACCCGTCCTTAATTTTACATTCTTATTTATTTTAATCGAGAGAATTGACGAAAATGCCTCTAGAGACACAAACTTTGACTTCCTTGGAGCATCGTCTAGAGAAACGTATAACTTATTCCTTTAGTCCAGATGTGTAGTACTCGTTAGTACGAACACATAGGCGAAAACCGTTTGAGAATCCGGATTATAACAGGATAGTTACGGACATTTGAAGTGGTGTTACTAAACTAAAGTTATTAAATAAATTGAACTCCCACTAAGTGGGAAGGGGACCAATCAGAAAGCAATAGGAAAGAGGGAACTTCCCCTTCATGCTAACCCGTGCAACCCCAACAAAACCCGGTTTAATTCCGGCCCCTCCTGCCATTTTTTCGTTGAACAACCACCATATACTACCTAAAATCTCTTCCACTACCTCCCCTCTACCTTTCTCACCCAAGATTGAAGGGTTTTAGGTCCAAAACCGTGTAAAAATCGTGCGGGTGACCTGTGGAGTTTCGACGGCGATTCCTCCTTTCCAACGAGTTTCACCACCCATTACCACCCTTAATCAACTCCCCTTGGACCCAGGAACAAGACCTAACCAGTTGTAAGGACGTTGGAACGCCGAGAAAGGAGAATCGAAGAATACCTATTCTAGGGTTTCCGGCGGATTTGAGTGAAATTGGAGCTCTTCACGGCCAAATTGGCCTTAGTCACAGGTATGAAAGTTGTTCCACTCAATGAGATCTTGATTTCTATGAAGTTTGAGAATTTTTAGAAATAGTTGATTTTTCCTGCGAGTTGGGGCGGCCGACCGCCACCCGCGGTGGTGCGTGCGACGGTGCGTCGCTGGAGGGCCATCGATGCTATTTTTAGCCTAAATTAGATGTATTGAGTTCAGTTTTGATGTTAGTATGACATTGGTTGATCGTTGGAACCTAAATTCTTTATGATATGTTACTTAGTAAAAATGTGAATCAACGATCTAATCGTTGGATCGTCACCAAACTTTAATAAATTATAGTACATAATATTTAAGGACCAAAGAAACTTACGGATTGGGAATCTGAGATACGGATCTTCCCGAATTGGATTTGTAAGTTCATAAAATAAAATGTTGGCCGCCACTTGGTTTTTGGCAATTGGCGGAGATCCGACCATTGAATCGTAATAAAATTTTAGGATGTTGTTCTAGAAGTATAATGTGGGTCTTTGGAAGAAACGGATTAGAAATCTGTGATGCGGATCTTCCAAATTGATTTACATAGGGATGCGTTTTATGTAAATTATGTATTTTATCGATTAGAACTCTGAGATGTGATTTGATAATTGGTCATAGGTGACGATGGTTCGTGATGTCTCGATATGCATGCTGGGGAGTCGTAGTGCGGACCTCATGTGAGTGGGTCTTTTCTTTTCTATCGTATATTATATATATATATGATTAACAATTCCATAAACGTTTATAAATTTAATTATTGCATATAATTACTGTGAATACTTTGAAATACTTATTGTGAACTACGAATGACTTGATCCCTGTTTAGGGTATGTAGGCAGTCTAGCGGGACGTTAGATGCAGCCATACACTAAATGAGACTAGATAATTGAGACAATAGCCTTGTTTAGGGGATTGGGTAATGTGAGGGACATTGGTGGAAAATGTGAGATTTAACCTTATGAATTAGTGATTTAAATGTGAGTCATAAATCAATGTGTGAAGAATCAAGAATTTGAAGTACAGAAATGTAATTAATGATAGTTAATTAAACTAGTGTTTAGTTGGGCTTATCACCGATAATTATTCCCTAAAATAAATAGCTCGGAAGTAGGGCGTTACAGCTTATACATTTTGATGCCATTATATATATATATATATATATATATATATATATATGTATATGTATATAATTGAAAATGCTATAACATGCTTGAGTATTAGATTGCATCATGGCTTATCTATATGTATATTACCTGCACATAATTATTATGAACGCTTGAAGCACAAAGGTGAACACAGGATGTCCAGGTAAGTTCATGTGAGTTTATGGTATTAGTTGAAATAATTGAGTTATGGCATGACTAGATAATGTTTTAAGCAACTCTGACACTATTGTACGGGTTGCCAGCTGATTTTTATCTAGGGAAAGTTTCTCTGTTTTCTCATAAAAAATAAGAACTTAATTGAAGGTGGTGTAACTTTTTCTGCAGGCTACTTCATCAGAGTGGATCTTGTCCTGTTATTCACTAACCTTGGCCTCGAGATTCTGTCAGCTGCTTTTGATCAGGTTTCCTCCACGCCTAAACTTCACTATGCCCTTGTTGATGCACAAAACCGGATGTCTTGGAACAACGTAAATCCGACTGTGAATTTGCATAAATGTAAATAACACAAGATGTATCATGGTTCACCCCAAGGTTTGGGCTATGTCCACACTGATATTGTATTTATGAAGGAGAGAGAGGTCTGAATGAGAGTGAGAGCTTTGAGAGGATGAAGGGGCCTTAAGAAATGACCTCTCCCAATTGTGAGGGTGAGGAGTCCTTTTATAGAATAAGGGCTCATCACTTATTACATATTTACCCCTTCCTTTATTACTTAATTACACTTTAAGTCCCCCGAGTATTTATACGAAATCTAAATATGAAGGCCCTAAGTATGGTATAAACAGCCCTAATTAATATGCTGTTGGCAATTGTGGCTGTACTTGCTTGCATCTCAGAGCTCCTTCACAATGGTATAAAGGAAAGAGTTG